CCCCATTTGCTTCTGCAGATGCCCATCATGACAAACCTCTCCCCACCCCCCCGCAACTCCCCCACCCCCGACTCCGCAGCAACAAACTGCGCCACAGAGTTGAAGGGGGAAAGGGCCGGGAAGAAGCGAGCAGCTGTAATTCGGGGATGACGAATGCGACTGACGCAGCCCCGGGGACTGCAGCCGGCCGAGGAGGGCGGCGCAGCTCGCCCCACATTTGGCGTAAGGGGACCCTGGGCTCCCGGCCGCTCGCTCCGGGCAGCGCTACTCCCCCCCACCGACTGTCTCAGCCGTCCCCCGTCCTTGCCTTTGCTGTTCATGGTGGCTGCGGGTCCGGTTCGGCTCGGCGTCGCGGACGGTTATTTTTTTCGTCCTCTTCCTGTTCGTAGTCACTTCCGTGTCACGTGCTGATTCGTCCTCTAGCGTCACCCGACGCCGAGTGCCTCGGCGCCGGAAACCCCGCCCCTTTGCCAGCCCTCCAGTAGCTAAAGGGAGGGCCCGTGTGATCCGCCCACTCGCGTTAGCCCCGCCCACTCGGTCCTGTCCTCCAATCCCCACCCCTGTCCGTCGACTAGTGGAAAACCAAATACTACCTACGCGTGCGGTTATTGTCTCAAAATAGGACCCATTCTCCCGGCGCTCGGAGGCAGAATCTTCTTATTTCCCGGAATCTTTCCCCTCCATGCGCAACGGCTCAGGGTCACCTCACCTTACAGCCTCTCCACCCGGGGCATAGATTTCAGCAATGTATCTAACTGCCTGAGATGTGCTCCCTACACCTTGTTCTATCACGCGTTCCTACCAATCCCAACTTAAGCCTCAGCTCCGTAAAGATGTATTTGGCCAGTCCAGCTCACATGTATTCTTTTCTGAATTAGACCATCACTCGAACCTTCGCTGTCTTGTCTGTTCCACCGACAGGCTGTCAGCATTTACTTCTGTGTTGCTGTCTTTCTCACCAAAAGCAAGGGCACCGTGTGCTGTGTCCTCCACTGCAGCTCACCTGGTAAGGAGTGCCCGTGCCCCTGCCCTTCCTTTGGCACCGGTTACAGGTGACCTGAACGGTGCCTTGAGTGTTTTCTTTGTGTATCGCTTTGCCTCTAAACTTAATTGTCCTTAAGGGCAAAGATGCTGTCCTTTAGGGCAGCAATTAAGTTTTTCCTTCCATCCTTCATTTTAAAATACCTGCTGAGCGCTTGCTATGTGCAAGTACAGAGATGAAGCTGAACAAGACAGCTCAACACTATTTTCTCATGGAGTTTACATTCTAGAGTATGTAGTAAGGATAGTAGAGGAAAAGCATCTGAAAAGGGAAAACTTTGGAAAGAAAAGCTCTCAGTGCCCTAGCAGCTAGGGCCTAGCTGGTTTGGCTCAGTGGATAGAGCGTCAGCCTGCGGACTGAAGGGTCCCAGGTTTGATTCTGGGCTTATATCTTGGTTGTGGGCACATCCCCAGTAGGGAGTGTGCAGGAGACAGCTGATCGATGTTTCTCTCTGATCCATATTTCTAACCCTCTCTATCCCTCTCCCTTCCTCTCTGTAAAAAATATCAATAAAATATATAAATAAATAAAAGAAAAGCTCTCAGTAAACATTAGAAACCTGATCAATATTTGCTGATTAATTAAATCACTAAAAAAAACCCTGCTCACTTCAGCTCTCACTTTTTCTCTTGTATGAGCACCATTAAAATGCATGATTTCAAGGGGTCTTTACAACAGCCTGTGTGGCAGGCAAGGCTTATATGAGCATTCCTGTATTTCAAATGAGAGAACTGATTAAAGAGAGTTGTCTTAAGTCACAGAGTGAACTGGTGTCCTGGCTTCCAGGGCCCCAGGTCAGTGTTTTGGTTTTGCTCTGGGTTTTTTGTTTGTTTCTTACATGTCACACTGCCGATCATGACTAAAATACTCTAAAAGTCCAGTGTCCAAGAGTTTTTGTTTGGGGACTTCTTTGAGATTTATATCACTAGCTTGACTCAGACTAACACTGATATTATAAAGCCCCTGATATGTACCTTTTGCTGTATTCCCAACTGTTCTTGAAGGCAGGCACAGTGTTAGACATTCATTCATTCAACATTTATTTGTAGAGCACTTACCAACACCGGGCACTGTCCCAAAAGCACTGTCCCAAAAGAAAACAAAGCTCTTGCTCTCCCGAAGTTTACCTTCTAGGGCAGTGTGCGGGGCTGCATATCTGGCACTTCGGCCAGACGGGTCATGCTGTGCTGTCTGTTCCTAAAACACACAAATAGGAAGGTACTGACATCAGGCCAGGCCTTGAGATATGGTCTCATGGCCCCTTCCCAGCACACAGACCTTCTTTCTCAGAAGGCCCGGAAGTCTCATTCCAAACTTGGGAGACAAAGGACTGGAAAAAGTATAAATAAAGAGAGTTTCCTCCATATTGGGGGCCCAGAATTTGAAAGACACGTCTTGCTCTGGGCCTCCACAGAATTTAATAATAAAATGTAACTCTTGCAGTCAGCACTGCAGTTCAGCCTCTGCTTCGGCAGGGTGCTGTGACTGTGGTCAGCTAGCAAGCTTAATAAAGGCTCTTAAATTTAAATTCTGAGTCGGTGGTCTATCTCGCTGAGTGAACCCATAACAGGCAGGAGCCTATAAAACTTTTTGACCAAAATACACAGTAATTCACTCTAAATCGTGACCCAGCATATATACATTTATACATGTAACTGAAACAAACTTAAATGACCTTGTGCTTATCTTTCTATGCACAAGGGATGCACTGTGGTATTTTCTATTCTCTTCTATTTCTTTTTTTCCTTTTCAATTCTGGTTGTGATTTCACATCCCACTGACAAGTCAGGACTCACAGTTGGAAAAGCACTGTTTATTAGTGGACTATTATACCCAGGGCCTTTGCAATCAGTTATTGGTGAGTAAATGAATGAATAAATCCTTGGAGGTCAGATCAGGCAAATCTTTTCCCCTGTATCCTAACTTTTCCCCAAATCGGATCTTAAACTAATTTCAGCCTAAAGCCTGAAACTGGAGAGAGAAGTCACTTATCTATCCCCACCCTTACCCTGTGCTCAGTACCTCAGGGAATAAAGGAGTGAAACCAAGAAAGGAAACTTCCCTTATTTCTCTTTCTGAACCCGCAGCCCATGTCACTGAGTGTAGGATGTGAGTGCTAACAGCCCATTTCAATGAGCATAGGAGGTGGATCCTAGTTCTGGTCCTACTGCGTCACCAGCTGTGGGGCACGGCGACAGTGTTTTGGACAGGTACAAGCCTTGGACTGAGGAGAGGGCACAGTCCTCTCATTGCCACGTGCAAGTCCCAGCTTGGAGGTCAGGGCCTTCCCAGCACAATTATAGCCAACAGCTGTAGTTGTGAGCTTGAGCCTCTTGTGCGAACACATTGCCCCACGTGCCTGAGTGATAGAGTTCAGGTGCATGTAGTTGAGTAGGATTGAAACCCACGAGAATGTTGTAAACATCTTGATCACGCCCTTACTTTGCCTCGTGGCATCTGCTATAAACTAAAGACACGGCTTGTGGGCGCTGCCTATCAGAGGGGCAGTGTCCCACCGAGACCCAACTTTCATTCTCTTGTCTGTCTTTTCTAAGCCTTTCATCGCCCCCACTCAGGGTCACTGAACCAGGCTGAGCTGGCATGAGTATGCCATGGCCGTGCCCACAACCAATTAAGTGACTTTGGTTCTCATCTATTCAGCTCCCCTTTATTCTCTCCTAGGTAGGAACCTGATATTGTGCCAGTGATCTTACAGATAGTATCCATGTCATGTCCCTAGCAGACTCCAAGGGAAGATGCAAGTAAGGGAACTGTGTTTCAGAGAGGCTAAGTCGCTAAACTAAATCCCACAGCTGCGAGCCAGTATTCAAACTCAGATTTGCTTGACTTTACCGGCATTGTTTTTAACCTGCTTACATTGTTTAATCTGTTTATAGTGTTTGTAATCAGTTGCCTCAGAAGGGTCTCCATTTCATCATCTGCCCCCCAAATCACACATTCCTTGTGTCACCTACAGCTTTAAATCTAGGCTGCTTGAGGAAAGGAAAAGAGCAAAGGGAGCCTGAAAAGACAGAGGGAAAGTGAACAGAGCTGATAATTAAGTTGTAAATTCTGGTCAGGCCCTTACCAGGTGTTAAAAATTCAGATACCTCTACTGCAGTGGTTCTCAATCTTGGCTGCACATTAGAATCACCTGGGAATCTTTTTAAAATCCAGATTTCTGGGCCTCATCCTCCGGAAATTCTGTTTCTCTGTCATGGGGTGTGGCCACAACATTAGTAACAAAGAAACAGAATTTCCGGAGGATGGGGCCCAGGAATCAGGATTTTAAAAGGATTCCCAGGTGATTCTAATGTGCAGCCAAGGTTGAGAACCACTGCCCTAAGGCCTTTCCCCAGGTACCTGCCCCTCTGCTCCAGCCTTCCACTGGAACCCCCCAACCCTCCCAGGACCTCTCCATGGTCCAGTGATTAAAGGGTTAAGTAACTCTTGACCCGGGAAGCCCTCAGATTGGTCAGTGCCTCCCCTGTAAAATGTTAGATATTTTGCTTATCACCCTGGGAGCTGGGCATAGGGAAAGCTAAATGAGATTACCACCGGAAATGGAAGTGTTGCAAGTCACTGCTCTGTCTGGCAGGTAGGGTTAACTAACAACTACTTTCTTAGACAGGAATCAAAAGCCATTCTATTCTCTTCATTTTCCCAGGCCTCCCAGTGAGATGAAGATGTTCATTTAGTCACTTACCAAACATCCTTTGAATTAATTTAGCAAGTTTTTATTGAGCACCTACCATGTGCCAGGCCCTGTGCCAAGCATTAGGGAAACAATAGTGAAGGCGTTCCTGCCCTCATGGAACTCAGTCTACCTAATAGGAAAGACAGAGAGGTCAACAGATACTCATAATATAGTGTGCTTAGTGCTGATACTAGGATAGCATGGGGTGTTCTGAAAACACCCACTCTTCTCTACTGGGCTCTGGGAAGGCTTCCTGC